GGCTGATGAGTTCAAACAGGGGTCAGAACAATCCTCATTTCTGACAATCCCACGAAATGGGAATTAATTTTATGAGTTAGTGCCGCTGTGCGCAGAACGAGGTGGAAATAGGGAAGTTAACGCAGGCAGCCGGGAGGGCTGTGCGCAAACGCTGGGCCTGATCCAGGCAGGGCCAGGAGCAGCTGGGTCTCGGGCCAGAGGACCAGAGGCTGCAGGGCCGCTGCCCGCGATCAACACGGACGGACGCATTTTATCCGATTTTTATTCTTAGGGTTTGACAAGGAAAAAATGCTGCAAGCAGGAGGATAATAAGGGTGATGTGGAAGGATTTAAGGACTGCAAATACTGCACAGTAAAAAAATGTTAAAAAAGCAAGGGCAAACAAATCCCATCCGAAACTGGTCAGATACCATGGGCGCTGGCTGTGTCTTCCATGGACTCATCCGAGCACTGGCACTGGGCACTGTGTGGAAGCCAGGGGCACGTGGTCTGGGCACAGGGGCCCGGGCCTGGGCTGAGCTGAGGCCTGTAAACCACGTGTTGGTGTGCGACCCCTGTCCCCGATTCCCACAGGCCTTGGAAACGGGGCCTTTGGGGGGTCCCTGAGTTAAAACGAGGCCATTGAAGTGCGCCCCAATGCAGTCTGACCGCATCCAACAAAAAGAAATCAGGCCACGGCTTGGCTGGCACAAGGAGGGCTGTGAGGATGCAGGGGAAAGCGGTGACCACGTGACTTGGGCAGGGGTGCCCTGCTGCAAGGAAAGCCCTCCCTGCTGCGGGGAGAGCCGGCTTCCGGCCTGCACACACCTCAGGATACAGCAGGCCGCGCTGACCCTCTCTGCTCCCTTGTTTACGAAGCCATCATAAACTCCTCATCCCGACACTCGTCCCTGGGTGAACCCGAGGTACATTCTGGGAACACCGGGGCTCTTGTTTTGCCTGGGATCCCGCTGTGTGGTGCTGGCTAAGACCCCAGCACCCTAAAGGACGGCACAGAGAGCTCAGGCCCTGGAGAGTTTTGAGTGGAGCAGCTCTGCTCGCGTGCTCCCCAACCCAGACCTCCGCCTAGTGCCAGCTTGGGTCCGTGTAAGCTTAGGACCCGGCCCTTCATCTCTGGCACCCACCACAAGCCCTGGCCTGGCTGCCAAGAGAGGTCACGGAGGTCCTGAGCTGACCTTGCCCTGGAGATGGAACCAGAGGCTATAGTGGGCTAGGGAAAGCTGGACCCTTCCTGGGTCCTTCACCTTCATCGGCGAGGAAGGGAGCTGCCCTTCCCCCCTGCTCTCTGGCTTGAGGAAGGCATGGGTGGGAGCCCAGCCCTGAGGAGGTGGACTCCAGGTTGGGCTCTAGTGTGCATACCTCTTCCCTCTCCCCTCCCCGAGGCAATGCCATGCAGGGGAGGGCTCCCTTTTCCAAGGCCCAGATGTGACATCTGGGATGAGACGGAGCCAGCACTTTCCTTGTCCAGAGGACGGCAGGCCCTGGGCGCTCCAGCGCGCTTAATGGCATTCAAGTGTAGCCCCGCCTCATCTGCAGCACCCGCAGAGTCCTGCAGCCAGGCCTCTGTGAAGCAGCCCAATGGCCTCTCTGGGCCAGAAGTGCTTGAGCTTGGGACCTTGGAAGGCGGCTTCCCCAGAGCACACAGCTGTGCTGCCCTCCATGTAACTCAGGGAGAGGTGATACATGGCTCTAAGGCTCTCCAAACTAAAAAAAGGGAGTAATAGAAAGGTGAGGTGACTGTCTGTCAATGGGAAACTGAGGAATTAGTCGGCATCCATGCACTCAAGCTCAAGACACACTCTGGGTGTGGAGGGAATGGTGTTGAGGGACGGAGGAAGGGTTGTGACCGTGATGATGCTTCTCAGGGGCCCTCACCACCCTCAGCCCCCACGTGATGAGACACAGCCCCCGGCATTCAGTCAGTCAGAGCCTTCACCTCGGCCCCTCAGGACCCAGGAGCCAGGGAGCACAGGGGAGCACTCGCTGCTCCTACGGGGTTGCCTTCTCGTGGGCCCTGCTTAGCCGGTTGTCCCTGGCACGTGCCATGGTCGAAGGGAAGAGAATAACACCAACCTCAGACACTGGGCAGGACACAGTGCTCTGAGTTCCAAGCACATCCTTTGCAGAAGGGAAACTGAGCCCCAGTGACTCAGAACTGCGAGGACTGGGGTCTCGCTCCCCACTTTGGAGCACAGGTCCTCCACCGCTACACCATGGTCTCTTCCCCCAAGCAGCACTGAGTGTCCTCAGTGGAAATGGTCACCAGTATACTGCGATACCCTCCCTTCGAGCCTTCTGGTTTCAAGTCTGACCTGAGCACTAGCCTGGCATTTGTATTCTTCAATATCCCTGCAGTGTGAGGCCAGGACATTTCAGGACACACACACATCTGGTACCAGGAGGTACAGAGCCACACGGATGCTTTCCACAAGGTTTAGACACGGGTCATCCCCCCAGGACCCAGCCCGCTGCCCAACTCCTCCTGGAAGGAAGACCCAGCACCATCGAAGTGGAGCTTTTGGACCACAGCCCAGCTGGGTTTGGCCTGTGCAAGCGCCCACATGGTGCTGACCCCTTTAGTGTGGGGGTCAACCAGGGCTACGCCTTCATGATTCTTCATCACCCTCACCAGCCGAGGGGAGCTCTGTGGGGCTCAGGAAGCAAGATCAGTTTCCTCCCTTCTGTATGCTCAGAAATCAGAAGCATCTGGACACAGCTTTCCTAATCAGTGACTGTCACTCTCCAGCTTCTCCCTCCAGGTGTTAATTAGGGGTCTTCTCTACCCATTCAGGGGCAGAAGACACAGGAGAGGCTGGCACTTCCTTCTCTGTGGCTGCATCCCCACTCTGCAGGGCAGAGGGTAAGGCCCGTACTCCCCCGATTCCAGGTCTCTGGTGTCCTCCACCCACCTGTGGACCCAGGGCGCCAGCCACAAAGCACCCCGCCCAGGCCTGAGAGGAAACTATTTCTCTCTTCTGCCTCAGGCTTGCCCATCATCTTCAGGCAGGAAATGTCCCGAAAGCAGGGGCCCAGGGCTTGCACATCCTCTACCCCAGGGTCCAGGGGAGCATGGGAGGAGTGGCCACATGGGGGTAGAAGTGGTGGAAACTCCAGCTATGTCCCTGACATAGCCAAGGACTCCAGGCAGCCAAGGCTTAGGTACAAGCTGGCTCCATCTTTAGCCCCTGATCACTGGTCTGCCTCCTGGGGACAGTGCTGTAGGGGACCCCAAGAATCCATCTACCCAGTACACTGCGGCCCTGAGGCCTCAGAAGGGCTGGGAATAGCCTGCAGGGAGCTCAGGAGCAGGGATGGCCGTGCCCGCCTGTGTCCAGGAGAAGGCTTGGTGGGCAGGGCCATGTGGTGGGAGGACCTCTGGGGGGATGAGAGGTGTCCTTCCAGCCGAGGCAAGCAGCAAGATCACCTGAATCCAGGAAGGACCTCAGCTTGGAGACCCTCTTACTCTAGTGCTAAAGGCTCAGGGATTTGATTGCTTCTAGGCAGAGCACTGGGTTCCACTGATCCCCCGAGCATAGACTGTGGACCATTTCTCCTGCTGTGTCCAACCTAGGGGGATACTAGGAGAAACCTCGTCTTTCTGCACACTGGAGATAGCACAGATAACCTTGAACACTATGTGAGACCTTAGCAAGGCAGGCACAGGGGACCCTACCCTGAACAGCTGCTCTGGGAACACAACAGTCACCACACCAGCACCCAGACCTTAGCCAACTACTCCACCTATTGCTGCCTCAGTTTCCTCATCTGTAAGCCAGGGACAATGACAGCCCTGCCCCTGGGAGGGCTGTGCACACACTAGAGTGCACTCAGAAAGGCACAGGGCCGTGGGAAGACTGAGAAGCCCCCGCTCCTGGTGTCTCCACTCCCAGGCGTGGCTGGGTAGAACACACTATGTCTGGAGTTTGCAGCTTACCCCAGGCAGGACCAGCTGCATGCCTGGGTACCTCCTGTCTCTGGACCTATCTGGGGTTCCAGGGGACCCCTGGGTCCTGGGTTCACCTGTGCTTCCAGACATCAGGAGGGGGAGAGTCTGTTCCCTGGACTGGAGTTTATGTCTGTGGCTGACCTCGCTGTCCTAACCTCAAGGTGATGGTATCAAGAGCAGGGGCCATGAGAACTACGACATAAAGGCGACACCCTTGGTGACACTGGGGCTACAAAAGAAGTGCAGAGTTCGGAGAGTTCTTTGCGCCTCCTAACTTGCAGAGACAGAGCAAGCAGGTGCTTCTGTCAGTCAGGAGCCAGCCATCGCCAGACACAGAGCTCACCAGCACTGTGACCCTGGGCTTCAGCCTCCAGGGCTAGGAACAGTAAGCTGCACTCGCACCCAGTTGATGGAATTCTGTTAGACCAGCCTGGAAGACCGAGTCAAGCCCTGCATCCTTGCAGGTGTGAGGGGTTTGGTGACCTAGAGTGCCTCCCTCTGCACCAGTCCATGCTGGGTAGGACCAACTCTCACCCTTGAAACCTCAGGTCTTTGTAAGAAGATAATCTGAGGCGCCTCTGCTTCCTGGGGTACACGTGTGGCTCTATTTCATCACTGGGACAAAATCACCCCACAATTTAGAGGAGGAGAGGTTCATTTTGGTCATGGTCTCAGGCTGTGGTTGCTGGACTAAAGGCAAAAATGCCATGTCAGAAGGGCATGGGGGAAGAAAAGCCACTCATGTCAGGGTGGGAAGAAGAAGGGAGTAGGTGGAGAGGGACACAGACCATTCCAGGCCCAGCTCCAGGGACAGCCTCTGACCAGGCCCCACCTCGTAACAGCAAGCCCAGCTGTGACTGGATTGTGCAGTGGCCCCATGGTCTACTCCCTCCCACATGCCTGTGAATTTGGAGGTATATTTCCGATCCAAAACCTAGCATTTTGCTCCTAGCCTCCAAAAATTCATGTCCACTTCTGTACAAAATGCATTTAGTCCATCTCTAAAAGTTACCAAAGTCTTAATGGTTCCAACATTGCTGAAAACTACAAAATCTGAGATTCAAATTTTTATTTGTACCTATAAAAGTTAAAAAGAAAATCAACTATTTCCAATATACAATCCCACACACTACATATTCCTATTCCAAAGCGGGGAAATTAGGGAATAGAAAGACGTCAGACAAAAGTAAGACCAAAGCAGACCAAAGCAAGACAAAACCCAGCAGGGCAAACATTGCATCCTTGCAGTTTCATGCCCAGCGTTTGGGGCAGGCTGTGGGTAGCCGTGAGCTCCAAAAGGCCCGGGCAGTCCTACTCCTACACAGCTGCAAGCCCTCACTGCCTTCCTCTGGGCTGCTTCCACCCACTGCCTGCAGCTTTCCACAGCAGAGGTGCCATATTCTGGATCACCAGATTCCTGTGGTCTCCACTGTACTTCTGGCTTCACTCTCGAGCTTCACACACTGCCCTCTCCAGGGCACACTGCCTGGCCTCTTCTGTTTCCCTTTGAAATTAGGGAGGAAGCCTTTCAGACCCCATAACCCTTGCATTCTGCATATTTGTAAAGTCAGCACCACGTGGATAACGCCCAGGCGGCCTCCAGATCCAGCAGCAGCCAGGTGCAGTAGCAGTAGCTCAGCTGGCTGTAGTGCCTCTGAGCACCTGGAGGGCTGAACTCAGGGCAGTGCATCTTTGCGTGTGTGAAGGTCAGGTCTTGCTGATTCTTGAGAAGCTTTCAAGCCATTTTCCTATTGTCCTGATGCAAATTATTTGGTTTCTTTTTAATGCTTGTCTTTCAGCAGCCATGTTCTACTTTGCTCCAACATGGTAGGTGCTTTCTGCAAACTTCCAAATTATTTTGTTCTTCTATTTGTACCTAATTCTCACGATAAATCTGGTTGAAGACAACCAGAAGTACCCATGCCAAAGCCTAAAAGTTGAAATTTCCTCCCCCTGGATACATTAGTTGGCTGACCTTAATGTCAGACTCCTGCAAAGCTCAGGACATGAGGAAAATGTAGATAAATTTTCTGTCAAAGCATAGTCGAGTCCAGCTGTCAGTGAAATCCTTGTTTCCGGCTAGAACCTTGGAGCCTGGCCTTTACTGTCTGTATTTCTACCAGCGTTCTGGTCTTGTGAGCTTTGAAGCTCTCATCCAGCTTGGTTTGCAGTACTGCAGGGCCTTATTGTCTGGCATGTCTAAACCTTCCCAAATTGCTTTGGTGAACAGTTCTGAAGGCTTCTGAGTCACATGGTCAGGTACAGTCACAGCAGTGACCTCATCCCTGGTACTGAAATTTGTCGTGTCATACTTCTGTCACTGGAACAAAACACAGGACACACAACATAAAGGAGCAGAGACTAGTTTGATCATGGTCTCAGCCCATGGTTAGCTAGCTCCGTGGCAGAAATGACACAGCAAAGGTTTGTGACAGATGAAAAGCTGCTCGTGTCAAGGCAGACAGGACACAGACAGACAGACAGAGAGAGATGGCAGCAACCAGGGAGGCAGATCCGCCCTACTGGCTCCTGCTTTCCGGAAGCCAGCTTTGACTAGGCCCCAGTTCCCAACAGGAAGTCAGCCACACCACTGCTGTGATTTAATCACTTTCCCTAACACAGGGGGACTTCAGGGACATTCCAGATCCAGCCGTAAGGGCCCTGTGTGCCTGTGGACCCACCAGCCAACTCCAGGGCTGGAGTGTGGTGCCCCAGTCGGATGACTCACTGATAGTCCGAGCTGAGAGGCACTGTCAGGGACTCTGACCTGACATAGCAGTTATAGACAGAGAGCAGCAGAGGGCAGCTGGGCAGGTGCTGTGACACCACAGAAGAAAAGGGAGATGTCAGAGTCAGGAAGCGTCTCTGCAGACCCCAGGGCCTTGGGGATGGTAGGAGAGACCCAGAGGCAACTTGAGGGCCAGTAACCCTTGTATTTTTTTGAAAAGGGAGTTGAAAAGCAAAACCAGGCAGACAGTGGTGCAGCTCAGCGTAGAGTACTTGCCTAGCATGTGCAACACCCAAGGTCCATTCTCAGTGCCGCAAAAGAAAAGTGAACAGATAAAGCAAAACTAGTTGGCTTTTAGAGGGCCTAAAGCCCTGGAAGGATGACATCTACAGGGAAAGCCCTGGAGAGATGATAATGCACTGGGGCTGCCTGTGTGGAAAGCAATGCTCCCTTAAACCCTCCGCCCCTTTACCTCCTTAGAAAGCAGAGACCCATTTAAGAAGCTGGGAAAGCCCATAGGTCACCTATCTAGTAGATTACAATTGTCCACAGGCCACCTAATCAGAGCAGGCTCAATGCCACATTGTGCCACGCAGTTTCACAGCTTTAGGAGGTCAGAGCTGGGGGTGGGGAGATCTGGTCATGGTGAGTACTGACTACAGGTGCCTGGTGCCCAGGTGAGCTCTCTGCTGGAGAGATAGCCAGGAGGAGCCAAAGGTCTGGATAGAGCACAGGAGCAGCCAGGGTGGTGGTCAGGCAGGACTCACTCTGCACCCACAGCAGGCCAGGGCCATGCACAGGCAGAAAGAGGGACAGAGGGCTGCCTCACTGTCAGGGAGATAGGCAGAGCCTCCAGAAAGGGGTGCTCACAAATTTCCCAGAAAGCTGAGCGCTGTCAAAGACCAACTCCTTACAGTGTTCAGAGCCGGTCAGTGGGTTCTTTCTTCCTTAAAGCTGTCCATTGCAAAGCTTCCAATAATGTCTGCTTCATGAAGAGATGCCGTCCGCATTTGGACATCCAGCTCATCCTAGGTAATGTTGTATATGGGGAAAGCCAAAGGTTTCCCCTCATGGAGCCTGTCATCTCAGGTCCCTTGAGAGCTAAAGCAAGAAGTCCAGAGTGCCAAGCCGGGGTCTGTGGTGTCGGCTGGACCTTGGTGTCCTGCTGAAGGGCCTGCTGGGAGCACAGAGAGGAGAAGGGGGAAGAATTGAGGAAGTGCTTCTTTCTAGAACAGTCCTCAGCTTCTCCTTGCTCATCAGCACACAGAGAAGACCCACCTTCAATGTTGCATAATCGGGAGCAAAATAAATTAAAACCCTGCTCCCCTCCCCAGCCCCACTGAATCCAGCCCGCAGAGAGTAGTTATGCACCTGAGCCCCAGGCCATTCCCATCAGTGGGTGACAGTCAAATTATTCTAGCCCAGGGCACATTTTATTTACATAATTGCTCTTTGGGCAAATTCTTCCACTTTTCTGCAGAAACCCTAGCTTTTTATTGACATCATTCTCAAACTCCCACTTTCCCCTCCACGGTTCATATCCCTGAAAAATAATTATCAGCTTTGATATATAAGAAATCGTTACCCACTGATTTAGATAATGAAATAATATAAACTACAGCAAGACGTTCTATGATTCTTACATACTTCCTGCTGTCTCTAACATCATTTAATGATTTTTTGATTTTCATTGTAAAGCTAAAAAAATACTTCAGATTTGAAACACAGCAGAGACATCAATGATCAGAACCAAAGCAGGCATTTTATCTTATTTTCAGTATGTCAGCTAGGCAGATTTTGAAAGCAAAAATCTTCAAAGGCCGCCCGCACTCACTGCTGATTCTAATGAGACAGGGGCGGCGCGGTCAGAACGCGCATTCTGTCTGCCGAATGGTCTACCACCTCCGCTTCGTGGAGCCAATCGGATCGTCTTTGGAGAGACCCATCTCATTCATCAACTCAGCTTTTCATCACCCTTCTGTCATCAGCATATATGTAAATAATAATTGGGAATGAGCCACCAGGAAGAGAAAAAAGGAACTATTAAATACCCAGGTGTAAGGAGGTATTGTGTATCTGACGGAGAGCATTACTTACGTCTTTAACACGTTTTCTTCTAACGATAAAAACAATGGAGGTTTACTGTAAAACTCACAAGTACACAATGTACAGAAAGCAAAAGATACCTGTTAAGCTGCCAGACAGAGAAAACTTTCCCCTCTTGGTTTCAGTGACTGGACTATGGATTTAACTGACTAAAAACAGGTTAATAGGAGACAATGAAAATGATTTTTTAAAAATATTTTGCAAGCAAAAGAGTTCACAGAAGGCAAAGAAGCAATCAGAGTCCAAGGCTTATCTACCATTTTAACAAAATGTCATGGGATCCTCGTGAGGAGTGCCCCAGAGATGCTCATGGAGTTCACACGTGCACACTCATCTCCGTGGGCACCCGTCTCCAGGGAGGAGTCCATCTCCCAGAGGCCTGGGAGAGGAGGGTACTTCCACAAAGGGAGATTCAGCCCCAGCTCTCAGCTGACAGGGTCAGTGGAGCATCTGCAGATTGTCAGTATTCAGCAGTTCAAAAGGACCCTCTTGCCAGCGCTCCCTATTCAGTGGCTTCGAATCCTGTTCGATGCTATTCCAAGTCCAACAGACAAGGACTTCCATAGTCTGTGCCCAAAAGAAAAGGAACAAGCAGCATAACTGCAGAGACGGCCTCCAGGGATCCAAGAACACACTTCTTGTTGTTTATGTTTCTATCTGGATGTTTCCAAGGCCTCAGGTGTTCGTAGGTGGAGCTTTGGGGAAGTCATTGCGATACAGGGGAAGGAAACTCCCCACCAACCGAGTGACCAGTACGCTCCTGTTCTCTAAAATCGAAGAATGAATTTTACGAACAACAGAGGTTAGGAGCAGAATATATTTATGGAGAGAGAGAAACCTTCCGTCCGAGAGACAGAAGGGGTCCAGAGTGGGTTGCCAAGGACCTGCCTTTTCTAAAAATTTTATAGAGCAAATTCACAAGGTGAGTTGAGTCCAAGGGGGGGGGAGGGAATGGGAACTCACCAGGTGAGCATGAAGTGGGACAGAACTATGTATAACTGCCCAGATAAAACTGATTAAACCGGGGACAAATGGGGACGTGAGTCTATAAGCAAGCAAGCATGGGTACAGCGAGCAGGCCTTGGCGGCAGGGTCTGGGTGAGTGACTCCTGGCTTTCGCAGCGAGACAGAGGCCTGTTCATAGTATCAATTGTTAGGATGTGGGTGTATGTGTTTGATCTTTTGTCTTGAGGTCTGGCCCACAATGGAAAGGGTCTGTCCCCCTGCAGTTACAGGGTATCTGGCCTGCGCTGGTTTGCTGGTTTCTTTGAGGACCCAACCCTGTCTGGATGCCTATAATATTTCTATCTCACTCAGCTGCCTGTAACAATTGGATCATGGAGGTATGAAACTGGATTCATCCAATAATGAGTTTACAGCTAAATGTGACCTTGGCAGTGAAGCCTTGTGGAGGAGGTGGCCACTGGGTGCCTGGCCTGGAGGGATCCATCTCCCTCCCTGCTCTCTTGAGTTGTCACTGCTTCACACCAGCACCCCATGAGCTCTTCCTGTCCTTGGTGCCCCTCTGTCACGTGCCCTGCCTTGGAGCTAGCCAGCTATGGGCTGAAACCTCTACAAACTGTAAGCCAAAGGAAACTCTTCTTTAACCTTGTCCCTGGCTGAGAAAGTAACTGAGACAATGCTCATCCTTGTTCTTGATCAGTAGTGTAAGTTACTTGTTACTGTGCAGCAAATGGCCATAAAAAGTTAGTGGCCAAGAGCAGACAGACAACTCCAGCAAGGTGTTGTTTCTCTTTGGATCACTCGGGCAGTCTTTCTTCTGCTTGCCTGGCTGGTCTCACTGGCCAGTAGGCTGCCTGGTCGGCCACCAAGGATGATCTAAAATGACCCAACTTGTCCATATGGCTGGTCCTGTGTGCCAAGGCTGCAGCCCCCTGCTCTGTTCCACCCACCTAACTCCTCCAATGGACTGTCCTGGGCTTCCTAGCTTCAGGCCTTCGGGCTCAAGGAAACTGAGGGAGCTTGAAGACGCCTTCAGGTCCACCTGGTCACTGCGGGAGGGTGTGTCCTGAGCCGAGGGATCAGAGAGCAGAAATCATGGAGGCCTCCATACAACAATGTGCTGCCGCACAGCGCTTGCCTCCCACATGTCAGGGTCCTGGCTGTATCCCTATGCAAACAACAGAGCAACCAGTCTGCCTTGACCCCCATTTGCATTTTCCTCAAACTGAGCAGTCAAACTGAGCAGCGATAGCTTCCGGGTCACATTTCTCAGTGAGGTTATCTTCCCTTTGCAATCCCTCTCTGAGGTCTCGCACCTCCCTCACCCCCACTTCCATGTCCTGCTGCTAGGGAATAATGTCTTCTAAATCTACACCCTGTGCATGGATCCCTACTCTGCAGGCTCCAGCTTTGGGGTCCTCTTCTTCTAGTGCCCCACATCCTCGTTCCTATGTGAGTTATGACCTCGATTATTCTGCAATGTGTCTCTGTTCTTGCGTTCTGGATCCCATCCATCCTGGTGACTTACTTTCTATCCCTATTAACTGGTGACTTCACTTCTGTCATCCCACCTCCATCCTCATCTTCTGGCATTCTCCTTCCAGAGCAAGGAGCGTCTGCAGTGCCTTCCTGCCCGTGCCGTCTCCTTCCTCTGCTGGCCCTGAAAGCCCTCTTGCTGGCTTTGGACCCTGCATGGTCTCTTCCAGGCTCCTCATCTTCCTACAGTTTTGGGGCCCCTTCCTCCTTGTTCCCTGGTGTGCATCTGGCGTTTTCCACCCCACCACTCCTGCCTTCAAAACCTCTCAGGTGTTTTACCTTAGAAACAGCGACACCAAAATCAAACGTATTTCCTTCAGCTTCAACTCTCTTAGAGCCAATGTTCTTAAAATAGCCTCCTCTTGTCTTCATTCTCTCTCTTTTTGTTTTTGTCTTTTTTATTACATATGTTTGCTGTACATGATGCTCCCGGTCATCCGAGCGAGGAGGCCCTTTCTCTTCACACAGCCCTTCCCTCCTGCCCCATCTCTGGGTCTCCTTCCTGATCTCATGAAGTTCTCTGTGACATGCAATAGCTGTGTTCACGGTGGGCCGCTGTACAAGTACACAGCACATCTGAAACCTTTGTATGTCCCCTTCTGCAGCTGGGCTCTGGGTTGACTTTTCATTTGCATAAGATCTATTTCCTTGTTTCTTTATCAGTCTCATTTCACTGCTTTATTTATACTTTGGATTAGTCAAATCAGTGAAACCATAGAGTAGGTAAGCTTGTGTGTCTGATTTATTTCACTCGACATTATGTTTCCATGGTGCACTAATTTTCCCACAAATGTCTAAAACGTATCATCCTTAATACCTAAGCAGTACCCATTTTGTAGAGATACCACATTTTCTTTATCCATTCCTCTGCTGATCGACATGCGGGCTGCTTCCAAGAATTAGCTGGTAGGAATTGTGTTGCTATGAATATTGGTATGCACGTGTTGCTATAATCTGGTATGTTTAACTCTTTAGGAAGACACAAAGAGGGGGAATATGTCAAGCAGAATTTTTATTGCTAGTTTTTTGAGAAAAATCTATACTGATCTCCTTCATCACTGTGCTCTGGAGTTTCCCTTCCCATCGCCAGTGCTGGAATGTTCCTTTCTTGCTGGAGCTGTGAAAGGATTTGTTATCACTTGACTTCTTGATGACTGACATTCTTTCTAAACTATCATGAGGTGGTGTTGATTTGCATTTCTCTAGTAGCCAGTTAAATTGAACATTTTTCGTGTATTTATTGGCCATTTATATTACTACTTCTGAGAAGTGTCTATTCATTTCAGTTGCCCATTTTTTGATTGGGATTTTTACTTTGAGCATCTAATTCTTTTTAATTCTTTTGTATTCTAGATAGTAGTCCTCTATCTGAGGTTTAGCTGTCAAAAATTTTTCATTCTGTTGGCTTTGTCTTTTGGTGTAAAAAAGCTTTTAAATTTGATATATTATTTGTGGATCGTTGCTGTTATTTCTTATACAATTAGATTCTGTTCAGAAAGGCCTTGCCTGTGCCTATAAGTTTATAAAAGTTTTACCTGTTTCATCCTCTAGCAGATTAA